TAACACCTAAATCGTTTTGAAAAGAAAGAAAATAAGTTGACTGTTGGTCAACCGTCTAAAGAACCGAATGTAAAGTTGAATTGATTTTTATTAAAAGGATAAACATATGCACGATCTAATCATTGAATTATTATGTTTATTCTTGTGCTACAATGGAGTGCCACTCAGCGTCAATGCTGAGCGGATAGCGTTGTTTTCCTTTTTGCTGTCCGTAGGTGATCAGACAGATGAACCTATAGCCGATCCCAGAGGGCATTGAGGAGGAGATGTACGATGGCGTGGCTGTCTCTTTAATCTGTAGTTATGCTTTATTTAATTAACTTTAATGCTTATTACGTTTTCGGGCAAGATCCCAAGTTGTTTGACTTCAAAAAGGCTTCCGCATTATTTTAAATTACTCCGATGGATTTTTATATGCATTGATAGAACGTTTGTTTAAAATTGTTTTGAAAATGTTGTATATTCGGATACCAATCCAGTGGCACACCGGTCCGCTGTCTCACGGGTTTGGGTTATGCGGGTTGGTGTGTTACACGGTGGGAGGATGGTACGGACCTCTGCCAAAACCTTTTTGGTAACCCTAGAAGACTCTTTGAACACCGGTCTAACATCAAGGGCTAGGAAGCCCAAGGATCCCAGTCGTTGTTCCCATTGCTCCCATCTAAGGACCTTGGGATTGAATCGACCGGCAGTTGATTCAAAGGGACAGGCTCCTGGGCAATGATTTCCCGGGCCTGAGAGTTAGACTGTTGGGAGGGGCGACGAATCAAAGGAGTGACAGGGGAGAAGAAGATTTAGAGTGGGAAGAGGAAGAGGGCTGAGAGCCTGATCCATAGGATTGGCCAGATATGTTTTGGCTATCAGAAGACATGACCTAGGCCTACCGGTCAAAAATGGAAAGACGGAAGAATTAAAAGACTAGGAGGACTGGAGGACTTACTTGGCAGAGAGCTAGAGAGAGAAAGTTGACCGGGCAAATCAAGAGAAGAGAAGGAGGAAATCGAAGAAATGAGATGGGTTGGAGGAGTATTTATAGGAGAGAGGGAGGCGGTTTGGAACTCGAGGCGACAGGTGGGAGAAGGAGAGCCTGACACGTGGAAGAGGTAATGATTAGGGGGGAAAGTTTTGAATTTTGAATGGTAAGGTGGAAGGTTTTGGAGGGAAATTCAAAAAACTGAAGGGTCAGGGCCAACGTTTGGACTTCCACTAACCCGAATGGACAGGTCATGCAGTGTATTCCACAAATCCAAAAGTGCCAAGTCTGATATGAAGACGATGAATCCAAGAAATGGGCAGGTCTCCATAGAAAGGTCATAGGAATGGCTTGACAATTTAAAAAAAGGGACAGGTCAACGAGAATGATTTGATGATTCCAGAAGAAGACAGGTCTGAATGGAAAGGTCTGATAATTCTAAAAGCGACATGTCTAAAAGGACAGGTCAACGAGAATGCCATTATGAATTTAAAGAAGGACAGGTTTTGAAAAGGAAAGACTTGATAATTCAAAGAAGGACAGGTCTTGAAAAAGAAAGTCTTGGCAATTCAAAGAAAGACAGGTCTTGAAAGGGAAAGGTTTGATGATTCAAAAAGACAGGTCATGAGAGAGACTAGGCGATGAGAAAGGACTGGTCAGCAAGGGTGACTTGATGATTTCAAAGTGTGATAGGTCAACACAAGTATACTTCCCGCCCTTGATGATTTCCTCACAAGGCCGGTAAGTGGAGGACTTCTTGATGGGTATATCCTTATACCCGACCCGGATAACCGAAAGGGACAGGTCAAAATATGACCGGTCACTTTTATCAAGTCACCAAATGATGTTAACTCTTCGATTGGGACGGGTCAAAAGTTGACCGGTCACAACCACTAAAAAAGTGACCGGTCACATTTTGGGCGTTAGCCAATTCGTCACTTCATGTTACAAAGGATAGTCCAGAGGACCAAAGAGACGGGTCGAACTCAAGAAATGACATGTAACACCTTAATCTGTCCAGGTCTGCAGCCCCATTTGGACTAAAGTATTTAACTTGGTAATCGTAAATTTTAAAACTTTTCAAACACGCTTTATTAATCTCAATAATATTTTTCATAACATATACAGTACGGAGTATTTAACAATATTACGGAAGCGAATTTAAAATTGACATATCATAAATTATTTCAAAACTTTGTCACATCCATCCTGACAATCTCGCCCCATCTGCCGCCAGAATCACATTAATCTTTCTGTTTACCTGCGTGTAGCAAATAAAACATACTACCCGCTCAACGTTGAAGCTGAGTAAGCATATCTAATGCATCGAACATCCATATAAATTGAATCTCAATTCATAATTAACCATTTGATATCATGCACACAATACATATTTCAAGCATACATTATTCATGATATTCACAATATTTTATTTTAAGTCATTTCATGATATATTCAATATT